CAGGATTACCCAGTAGGTTGTTGCCTTACTCTCACCCAAGCTAGAAATGACGAAAGACGTACGGTTTATAAAAGAAGGAAGTATACGTATGATAATCCTAATCCCTATTTGCCCAGCTTCTTGATTATTTTACTTTGACTTTGCTCTACTTTACTTTTCCTCTCAATGACATGATTTTTGATATGCTGACTGTTCGTGGTGGAATCTCGGCACATTTATCCTAGGTTCAGCGGCAGTATTGGTGAAAAGCCTGGTGAACGTGTTTGTAATTTGAAATATCACTGTATTCCATAACATTCAGTCATATCGATATCACCTTATCGTCTTATCATCAGGTGGGTCTACTTCGAAACTATCGCTTTTGCCTTTATCTTGCAATGATTCAGAAAAAGTTCCATGTCATAATGTCACCGTAGCGCATAATCAGTGTAAATACAGCAGAGTGGCTGTTGAAAAATCTGGGCGACATGCGATAACGACTTGCTCCCTGATGTCAAAAATGTTATTCAGCATGACCCCGGCTGACAGCGGCAGATTGCTCATAAAACTAGTCGTCGACAAAGTGTGACTTTCAATGTTTTGCTCTTGGTAAATCATGTTTTGGGTCCCATTTTGTTATTGTTATCAAAAGCCTGTGTTAAATAACTCTTTTTATCGCATGTGATGTTAGAGTCAAAATGTAAGTAGAATATTGTTTGTTAAGGATTCGTATTCCATGGTTGGTTGCCATATGAAGGTCGGTGTTTGAATGATGGGCAACGCCGTCAAGCTGCATAAACCTTCGAAAATACTTCCATCCTCGCTTGCTTTGTCAGTACTCCTGACTACTGAAGGATATCTAGTACTTCCAGTAGATTTTTTGCCTCTCTCACCAGTATTTGACGGCGAACAGCGATTCTTCTGATGACCTCGCTTGCGTTCTTCTGAATCGATGACGAAGTGCTCATACTTTTTCTGGCGCTTCCTCTGTGAAAGCGTCTGTCACCACAAAACATGGTGGTAGGTTTGGACCAACTCCGTATTAACACCAAACGTAAACATGTTAAAGGCGTTTCGTGGTTTGTCTTTCGATTAAGCTATTCTAAGTAGCAGGAAGGCTCTTGGTCAAAAGACTGAAGTTCTTTCCAGACGGAAGTTTGGCGTTGAAATTCCGGTTGATAATCATCGTTGTTAATATTCCAAAATAATGATCATCGTCTTTACTTAAACCCCATGATATATGTTACGAAACTTAAAAATTATCACGACCCATGTTGGATAGTAGTGAAGTTTCATCCGCACAGAGAGGTAGCATGAAATGTTTAGCTCGGCTTTCAGTCTAGTCACATTCTTTTGTTCTAAGTACGAATGACCAGATTCGACGTGCCTTTGGGTCAGTTTCTGTCATGTTATCCCAGTAAATGGAAAATGAAACTAGCTTGCTATGTCATCCACGCATCCAATGGTGATGGATTATGTCTTTGAAGAACCAGGGAATAGAGGAAAGATACTGGGACTTCATCATCAGCAACTGCTAGTGTGAAGCCTAACAGAAACATAATTAAGTTCAAAATTTAAAAAGGACATCAGTCATGCAGACGCGCTATCAACAAAGTTATTCACAGCAGCCTTAAAATAGGTTTCCAAGACCCTCTGTTTGGAAAATCCAGAGATGAACATAAATCGGTATTAATTAAGCAACTTAACGTTTTCATGGATGACACTGGTCATTTCAAAGGGTCTCAGAAGAAAATCAAAGAAGAATCCAAGAGTTTAACTATGCCTGGCAGGACTGAAATTGGACCTGAAGAAGATCCAGGTCATGTTGAACAAATATGTGACACCGTTACCTGTTGAAGTCAATGGATTTAGGCCTGAACAGGGGCCAGACTGTGTCCATCTGGGACATCTCATCTCCGCAACTCAGAACCGGCTATGTGAAATCAATAAAAGAATAAAGGTAGGATGGAGAACTTTTGGAAGACTGTAACTGTTTCTATCCGGGAAACTACCCTTGTGTCTAATGAGGAAAGTATTCGATCAGTATATGCTCCCGGTGCTAACATGTAGGTATGAAACTTAGACCTTAAGCCTCAGAGCTATTCATAAGCTGCAGACTACACAGTGAAGTATGAAAACATGTCTGTTGGAAATAACTTGAAAAGATGGAAAGTTAAATCACAGGATAAGAGCGCAAACAATAGTCTGCGATGTCATAGTGTGAGAGAGAGAAATTGTAATTGCAATGGACAAGATATTTTTCGGTAAAAGCCGATCATCTTTGAATTTCAAAACAGAGTAAACGGCCCGTAGAAAGACCTCCAGATTGATGGCAGGACGAAGCAGAAACTTTCGTTGGATCAGAATGAGTGAAAATTACAGAACACAAAATCTATGGCAAGGTCTCGGACAGGCTTTCATCCAACAGTTGTGATGAAACTGTACCGTTGTGACTAAAATATGATATCGGGTCATCATATATTTTGCTGCTTTTTTCTTTTACGCGTATCCCCGTTGTTCGTTGCCTGAGCCGGTTTTGCTTCAGGCCAACGGTCGTTTGCGTAATCTTTAATAATAATACGATGGTTCACATGAGCTGCTCTGTTCCCATTGGGATCTTTTCATTTGCTGGAAAAAAACTTCTCGTTGCCGCAATGTTTTCCATGTAAGCGTTGGTTTAACACCTACTCATTTCAAAGTTTTTCGACCAAAGGTTGTGTAATCTATGGATTCTATTGAGTGGTGTTGGTAGGTACCACCGTTGTAGCCGAAACACGGTCGATCAGAGAAGCGAAGTATCTGCCTACTGTCCTATGCTGCGGGGGGGGGGCGCAGGTGAAGATAATTGGCCAGTGAAAACTTTTACTCTGAGGACTGTGCAGATGATGGTCTCCAGTCCTTCTGTGTCTGTCTTTAGAGTATCCCCTTGCTAGATAGATAGATGTACGTTACCGATTAACTGCCATTTGTGACGAAGGCTTCTGTACTTGAAATATTGTCAGAGACACGTTGAGTATATTGTAGCATATTATGTTCAGAGGATAGTTTCATTGTTTCCGTTTGGAGTTTTTTGTCTCAACATCTCTTTGTTAAACGTCACAGTATCCCTTTGTTACGCTTTGACTATCATTCCTTCATTGGCCAGTCGTTTTACGGTTAATGTTCGCCGGTAAAGGGGGTGCGCTTCGTTTGCTTCAGCGAACGTGTGATCCTTTACTTTGATTGTTGTCTGTTCTGTGCGATGTGGAGGAAGAAGTTTGATACGTTGAGAGCCTGTCATGCATTTCAGTACTTAAGGAATTTAGTGCAGAGTGGAAGCCCATAACGAATATAACCTTCCCCATAAAAATGGAATAGGCTTTAGAAGCATGAGCAGTCATTATGAAAACACTAAGCGGGTGATGAGACCATGATAGATTTGTGAAAAAAGTAAAATATTTGCTATTCACGTTTGTAGATATTTTCGTTGTTATAGGATGGTCGTCACGTCGTGCGGACGATCACCTTCAAGCGCGACAAGGTCGGCGAGTTCAGCTTTTCGTTCCACCGCGTTCATTTGATCGAGTGTCTTTTGGACGGTACCGAAAATGAGCGACCGCTGACTTTTGTCGAGCCTCAAAATCGCGGTGAGAAGAACAAAAGGGAAACAGTGTTGCCCGGCGAATTGCTGTTGCGGATCAACGGTACATCCGTCGAGAATCTGACCAAAGACGAAATCGCTCGACTACTGCAATGCGCATGCGATGAGGTGTCGTTGGATGTGTGCCAGGCTCCTGAGTTGATGAACTACTCGTTTCTTTACCCGGAACTACAGCAATCGCTGGTGACACCAGGTGACCACGACGTGGACATTGGTCAAATTTCCAGCTACGCAGCGGACTTTTGGCATAGGGATATGCAAAACGTAAGTAAAGACGCATATAGACTGAATTTCTTAGTGTTCAGTTAACGTTTTTAGAGTGAGCTGGTCTCCTCAGTGCTGAGAAGAAGCGTCGACAATGGAAGTTGCGTGTGGCTGGCTCACATCAAAGGCTTTTGCCCGGCGACGGTGGTCGGCCCCGCCGAACTGGAGGGAACCTTACGCATAAAGCTTGACGACTTAGACAAGGAAATTGTGGTTGACGAAAGCGACATCGAACGAGTATGCAGCAACTGTTATTTATGCTTTTATTTGCGTTTTGCTTTTCGGCGCATTCGCTTGAATCAACGTATACTTTTCTTCCATTTTTTAAAAAAGAGTGATATTCATTATGTCCAGGTTCAGTATGATGATCATAATTCATAATCTTCAAGGAATTACTACGCATATACATTTTATCAAAGTAAATTCTGGCGAAGAATCCAAGAGTTCAACGCTGCCTGCATCAAAGTCATACTGAAAATTGATCTGAAGAAGATTCAAGTCCTGTTTAACAAATGCTTGATCGCGCAACCTTTTGAAATCAGCGGCCTTAAGTTTTTGAAGAATTGTAAATTGTTATCTGGGACATTTTTGCAAAAGGAATTGACGGAAATGGAAAGAAAGAATGGGATGGAACGCTTTTCTAAGAAATGTTCCTATCCGTGAAACGGTCCTGCTTAAAGTATTCGAAAATATTCTCTTGGTCTGTTCTTCCAGTGCTGGTTTATGATTGCAAAGCATCGGTCCTATGTTTGAAGACTGTTTATAAACTGGAGACTGCGAAACACAGCATGCAATGTTGTATATTGAGAGTAAAAAGAAAAGGTAAGAAGGAAGCAAGGTTCTGTGATGTCATTGCCTGAGTGACGATGAAGTAGCAGTTACTTGGGTAAGTTGCTGGGCCAAAGAGATATTAGACTGCTACCAGGAGAGAACAGACGGCCCAAATTTAGGAGAAACGCAGGATAAGCCGAAGATTATACAAATTGTGGAAAACAGAAGCTAGTGGCAAAGTCTTGGAAAGGCCTTCTTTCAGCAGTGGATCAAAAAATGCTCATTTTGCTATAATGTTGACGTTTTGAATCGAACTAAATCCGCCCCCAGAAGACATTGCGTGACAAACGGTACATTTGACAATGTCAGCGATGACCCAGTTTCAGTACCGTAACATTTGCAGTCCACCAAACGTCCATCAGTTTTTGTTATGCCTCTGGCCTCAGTGGTACTGGATTATGTCCGTTACCTTACATCGCTAGCTTGGGGTAATCTGACTTTCTTTCCTTCTCATTCTTGTATTAAAATTAAAAGACATCTCTGGTATCCTTTTGCTGGTGGCTGCAGTTAATGACACGGAAGTGTAGAGAAGGAAAGGACAATGATAATTTAGCCTCGGTTGTGTTAATTATTTTCGATGCATTATATTATCCATTCAAGCTCATTTTACTGTTTTTCTCTCCTCACCCTTATGTCAAGAATCATGCTGCAAAAAAGTAGCACTAAATGCCCCTGAATTTCTTTAGAATCAATTCTTCTCAACCGTGTCCGTGCACTTGACTGTTGGCACTTAAGTTATTATCTATCCAGTATCAGTTCGCTGCACAGTACAGGACTTTCGCGGATACCGTTGCCTAAGAATTGAACAAACCTGACTTTAAGAAGGAGTGGTCGTTCGCGTTCCACAGCTGTCCTGCAGAGCCTTATGAGTTACGAACTCTCAAGTGTGTGTGTGTGTGTGTGTGTGTGTGTGTGTGTGTGTGTATGAGAATATCCTCACGGAATATTTTTTTACTGAGTAAAGACACAAAAGTTTTTGATATTATCATGCTCAGCCTGAATTTTTAGCCGTCAGTCACTTCATAATAATCGTTGGAGCGTAGTAGCAAAGTGATAAACAAGTCGGCTTTGAGCGCCAAAGACACCGGCTTCAAATTCGCTCAGGGAACAATCTTTGTCTTAATCGCGAATTTCCTCGAGTAAGGAAGTAGCCTCACTCTGCTTGGGTGCAACCAGCCGAGAAACCTGTAGCAAATTGATGACTTATAAATCGGTGACGAACATAAGGTACAGCATGGTATTATGGTCTAGCCATATCAGAACGGTCGATATGTTCGGCTATGCTGTCCGATGCGAGCATTTTCTTTTGATGTATTTCACCTTGACCCATCTGACAGCAGATTATGTGATTTCATTATTAGCACAAGGGTAACCACCACTTAACGATTATGACGTTTCGCAGCTAATTCAGATATGTATAACTAATTTAAACGTTATATAACACTATATGTAAAAAATATGACATTATACTAATAAACAGCTCTCTATCACTATGCGGAATTACTAAATATGGTCAAGTTTTGTTACATTGAGCTCAGCTTCAAAGGACCAACTACCATAACGTCTTAAGATTTTTTTTCATTTATGAATTCTGATCGATGCTTTATGCTGTTCATTTATCTTTTCATGAAAACAGTTTCATATTTAAGAGAAACCCCGAACATCTGAACTACTGTGAAGATCTGCGTTTGTTGATATTTCTGAATGAGTCATCGGTTGGTCACGTATTGCGGATGCGGTTTTTGCGTCATCTTCCGTATACTCGAGTGGCGTCTCATAGCACCATATGCCTGACTACCGGCGTCGCTGCTGCACCTCTCTCGGCGAAGGTAGGGATTTTATCATAGTACATTCTCTGATCCATTATCAGCAAAACAAAGAAAAATAACTGGTATGATTCCAGAGAGTGTAACTAAGCTTTTTAACATGTAACCGCCGTTCGAAGATACGTTTCGATGTTTCTTCGGTGGTTTCTTCAATGTATAATATGAACTGTTGTTCTTCACGTTAGAGAACGACAGAATTGTCTACAGAGTTGTCGATTCAGAGTACTAAACAGTTGCACAGATCTTGGCAGAACTGAATTATAACACTTACAAACTATGAATTAAAACAAAGTCTTTTCTAAATTTATGTCGTATTTGTTTCATAAAATTTCTTTTTATTCTGCATGCTTTGCAGATAACCGAGTTTTACCATCGGTTGCCGTCGCAGTCGATGCCCGTTCATTTGTTCAGCATCGCTAAAGGGGTCTTGGAAAAGATCGTCGCCACCAGACGATCGGGCGCAATCGTTTTTACGGGTCGTTCTGGTTCCGGCAAGACCACGCAGCTGTCACAGTTGCTGAGCTTCATGTGCTCGTCTGTTCGAAGCAAAGTTCCTCGTAAGTGAATTGTTTTAAACGTCAAACTTATGCATAGCCAGTGTAGTAATTTCTGTGACAGTGTCAAAACGACCTCCGTATCTTATGTGTATCATCCTGAAAAGCAGTTTGACTTGAAGTCGTGATTTAATGTTCCCGCGTTTATTAAAAGTTCATATTTAATAGATTGTTTTTCACATTCTGGTCTGTGCATAATTTACCGTAACCTTCATTTAGTGAACTTCAATTTAGAATAAGGTAAAAGCAATGCCTCCTCGTCATTAGCCATTTTCTGTCCGTTGCTAAATGAAGATTCGGACAAGACTTTATCATAAACTCATATTTTCTGTGATTTTTATCAGTCTTGATCAAAGGAACTTTGTCAGCTTATCCTGCTGTCAGCCTTGAGGTCGTCCAGATTTCCTCAGAGATTCAGATTAAAGTGTCGGTTGAGTATTACGTTATGTTTAAAAAATTGTTTGACACCGACCAATGGAAATGGGGCCTGCATATTATTGACACGAAGGTACTTATTATTCACTTCTGGCTAATGGCATTACAGCCGACACTGATACCATATACGCAGTGCGCAATACATGCAACGAATATATACTGCCACAAGTGGTACGCACAATAGTTTAGGTCCGTGGGACCCATATTTCTACTCGTGACATTGAAACTAGCAGCGAACCTTCGCCTAGACTCATGTGTAAGTCTGAGGTAACGACGGCACGGGTCCTGTTAAAACACAGACGCAGTTAGGTCATCGACTTCCAACAACTGCTGAACGAAGTCCATGAGAAGATTCAGTGTATGCACGAACTCGAAGAAAACGGAAGACTTCCGTTTCTGGATATCGGAATATGTAAAGACAGATATTCCCAATGAATGACCGCCTACAAGCCTATCAACACTGGAAGATGCAGTAATTCTGGAATCCACAAACTGGTAATTGTGGAAGATGCCCTAGTACATATCTTGTATCTCCGAAATGTGCGGATATGTTCGAGCCTCACTTTACAAGAGCAGAACAATAAATTGCCCACTTATTAAAGAGAAGGCACCTGTCCGGAACTTTTCATCCTCCAGCAGTTTCCTAAGGTGAACCGAAGGCTGAACGGAATCAATCATAAACTAATTGACTACCCCTAAGATAACTTGAATAATAGCTCAAGGGTGTCGAAGCGTTTTTCTACCAAAGGGATCTGATGGGAATGATACAGTGGTTCATAACCAAATATGGCGTTAGAAGGTATGCCGTTTTCCACAGAACCTTGGGGGTTTTTTATGAGAAAAGATCTACCACAACAGGAAAACCCCGGGATAACACATCTCAGTTTGACTTGTGGTGACACGTACATCGGCGAAATATGATGAAATCTCAGAAACAGGATGCGGGAACATATGTCGTATTTAAGCATAGCAGACTAAGGATTATCGGTTTCAGAAAACAGCGTCGAAAAGATCTGCCATACGGTGGTAATCCAGCAAAATAATTCGAAGGGAGAAACTGGATAAAAAGGATGATACTGAAAACCGTGAAATCGGAATACGCCAGTAATAAAATTAAGGAAGAAGCATAGAGAGTTAATTCAGCTCGTTTACTACTGCTACGCCGTCAACTTTCCATACCTAATCATGTCATCCTTGTGCTCTATCTCACGGTATATATTTGCCATTGTATTGTCAGACACAACTGAATCCGTTGCCCCTTTGAATATTAGCTACGAACCCGGTTCCAATAGAACTCGTTTCGCGTTTCATGCAGGTGGTTTATCACCGTGAGATTTAAGGTCGTTGCGGATTTTGTTTCCGACTGGATTATTCGCGCGCTCGTCAGTCCGTTTTAATTTATTGCATTTTTAAATTGAATATTGCATGAAAACGCATTTAGAGTTCAGTAAATTAAAAAATTTTACTTCATAGCAGTGCATCATTCCGCTTGAAACTTCTTCGGAATAAACACTCTATGCTTTAATTTTTACTGCGGGAACTTTCAAAAAATGAATTGTCTCAGTTTACAAATCACCAGGTAATGGAATTCTAAATTAAGATAACAGAGTGCACATTCATTCGAAGAACAGACACCTACCTGTCAAATGGAATCGATAAGATGGATGGTTATCGATGTGTTTGAAGAGCACGTTCAAATGAAACATACCGGAAGTAAACAAGGCCTGACCCAGCACCTGGTCTAACTTTGCTATAAAGAGTTAAAGCATAATGCAGCACGCTGCACAAAAAGGACACTCCTCCGATAGTAAAAGTGCAATAACACTGTCAGGGAAAGTGAATGACTGAACAAGCCTGTAAAGGAAGCATGTAGTGATTTGGATGTGTCTCATCGTACCTGTTACTGACAGAGCTGTCAAAATAGCATTTACATGTGGTTTGCACTCCTGGGAAAGCCTGTGACCAGATCCCATGCGACTACCTATGGTCCCTGCCTGCAAACATGTGGAATTACTTTTCAGGTTGCTACAGGCCATCCAACTATTGGATGATGGCAGGTGGTTCGTCAGAGTAAATAGCGCTAAGTCGAGATCTTAGACGCTGGTACTAGTTACATCCAAGGTTCCATTCTTTCCTCTTTTTCTGTTGTACATGGGTAGGATAGTCAGATACATATAGATCGACGAGTATATCCGCGTAGGTAATATGGAGAGGTAACGTTTGATGTTGAACATATTTTGTTGTCATTTTCCGAAACCGAATATCCTGCGCTTTCTGGAAAGCTGGGCTGCAGAATGCGACGTGGCCAGCATTCATGTGAAGGTGTGGAAATACCAAATGCTTAGTGCTACCTCGCACTTCTACCCGCTGGACTCTGCAGATAAGTGGAGGAGTAGTGGAATAAGAGGAAAAATTCACGTACTTCGAGATCGTGCTCCTATTAATGTTTTCAAATTAAGTTTTATTTTGTTATTATTAAAATAT